AAACATTTCTGAACAAAACTAGATGTCGCTGAACTCTCTACGACATTTTTTCATCGAACTGTATTCAATTTACAAGAGGCGCCTCCATGTCACAATCGGCAAAATCGCTAGAAAAAGAGCAAAAATGATAGTGAAGATGACCGAGAGACCTTTTGTAAATTGAATACAGTTCGATGAAAAGATGTCGTAGAGAGTTCAGCGACATCTAGTTTTGTTCAGAAATGTTTGCCCTACACGAATGAGCTATTCACAAAAAGTTTCCGCTGGAATCGCGGTACTTGATTTTTGGGATTTTCTAACATCTTGGTTTTTCACAGACCTGGTTTGCAGAAATTTTAATGGAAGTTTCATATGCATCTCACCTTATTATAAACTCATTCAGTTGTACAAATCTTTTTCCACATTTGTTCTAGCTATTGTATTCGAGAAAAATTAAAATTAAAGGTGAACCTATAATTTTGGCCAATATTGTAGAACAAGCTATATAAAACGGTACATGCTAATTTCATTGTGTTACACAATGCTACAAGTTTCTTTTCCCAATTCAAGATGAAGAGAAACACGAGATGTCATAGTGCATACAGATTACATACTATGATGTATAACTCTACTACAGGTATAGGTTTCAGAGGAGAAACATTGTGCTAAAGAACGAGGGCAATTATTTGATGGAATCGACTTCTGCCTGAATTTCATCGACACATACATGGTTAAATGCAGAATGAACAGGAGAACATTTCTAGACACTCGGCAGACCTTAGAATTGCTCTCAGAAAAAGTTGGGTCGAATTAACTGTAATCAAAGTTCTGCTCCTTCTGATATGTATTATCCATCGTATTTTTGAGTGTCTCTCGGCTTCATACCTTACTAGAACTATTGTATGCCATTCGAAAGCTCTTTTTTTGTCCTATATTTCTGTATATCACATATACGAAAATAGTCGTTCTGAGGCCAAGTATGTTTAGAAATACTTCCGGCAGTCTTCTACGTGCAAAAAGTCTAAGATAATTTATGACACGCTTTCTCACCTAGCCACTACGATAAATATACCATTCGATAGAGAATTTCACGGGCTTCAAAATGATACATCTGTATATTACAGATAGGGTTAGTCATTACAGATATGTAGCATAAGCGTTTGGGTGTTATCTATGCAGTATAGTCTGTCATAATCACAAGAACTCTTTCGTTTTTGATCTTTAATTAATAGCTGGAGTCAATCTGAATACTGTTTTGAATAGTCCCAAGATTTTGTGTCAGATGAGGTGCATATCGCCGTTCCATGAGAAAAGTTGATAACAGGGTTTCTGGAAAACCTGATCACTAAAAAACCATGTCCTTGGTTTTTGGTCAGAAAATTTTCCAAACCATATAGCTTGAAAGAGCATAGAATTCTGAGAAAAATAAAACATCTCCCGGCTGTCTTCATTGCTTTGTGACCGGAATGTTTGGTTAATTTTCATGCCCTTTGTAGCCATTAGTAAATTGTCTGCAGTTGCGTGGAAAAGCATTACACACAGCCGGGAGATGTCATTTTGAAACCCGTGAAATTCTCTGTGGAATGGTATGTTTATCGTAGTGGCTAGATGAGAAAGCGTGTCATAGATTATCTTAGACTTTTTGCACGTAGAAGATCATTTTCCATAGCCGGAAGCATTTCTAAACATACTTGGCCTCAGAACGACTATTTTCGTATAGAAATATATATGTAATATAATAATAGCCTATATAGCCTCTTTGTTGCTGCAGTATTCAAATATTCTCCTCAAATAATTTTATTTGGCAAGAAACAGTTAAACATCTTCCAGCATACCCACACTGCGCACCTCGTGTGAGATAGAAATGCTTCTAGGTCATACTAAGGCACATGATGCTGACATCTCTCTAAAAACACGTGGAGTTCTAAAACTTTGCATGTACTTAAAGGACAGTGATATTCTTTATACAATAGACGTTTGATCTATTATGTTTTCAGGTATGAATCACGTTGTCCACATGTAACACAATTGGATAATTTACCAAATGATTTGATAATAGAAATTTTCGATTATTTACAGCCTTGTCGTGTTGTTTATGCTTTCTTCGATTTGAATGAACGATACGATAGATTATTAACTGAATACAAGCGTGAAATTGATTTAACTGAATTAACATTTGATTTATTTAATTTTTATTGTGAAACTTTCATACCAGCAGTTAGTGGAAATCTTCGATGTTTAAAAATTGGACATACAAACCGAACTGAACAAACTTATTTATTTGCAGAGAAAATTTTTCGAACAGAACATCCGATATTTTCAAATTTGAAATCACTTTATTTGTACAATATCACTGAAAGTGAACTTGAATTATGTTCAAATGTATTATTTAAATATCTGGAACATTTAACAATTAAAATGGAAACAAACACATGTTTTTCATTCGACTTGATCTTTTCAACACTAAATAGGTATGTTAGGGAAGCCATCAAAAAGAATTGAACGCATGAATCGTGGACTCCCTAGTGAAAAACTTACTCGAATCTTATCAAGATCTTAGAAAAATCTTATTAAGAGCTTAGTAAGATTTCGCTGATATTTGTCTAAGATCTTAAACGAATCTTACTAAGATCGTGAGACTCGAAAATTCTAAGATTTGATACGATTTTTCTAAGATATTAATAAGTTTTTTTCAGGATTGGATAAGAATCTGTTAGGATTTTAATAGTAAGAACGACGACATTTTTTAAATAATATTCATTACAGATACGCTGAAAATTTTTCAACTTTTAATCCGCATTATCCAAAGCAACATTTGAACAGTATTGAAGAATGAAGGGAAATTTCATATTTTCGGGTGTCCAACTATGGACCTTGACCCGCATGTAAACTCTCTAAAAAGTTATTGAACACTTTCGAGAGAGTACGTACTAGCAGAGTCTGAAAGAAAACTAACCATAAAACCACTCATATTTTCGGCGTCGCTTATATAGATGAATAAGAGGAAAACAAAGGGGTGAATGAAAGTAGAGTCATTAAATCTTATTAAGATCTGAAACGATAAGATTTTAGATTATCTTATCAAAATCTTAAAGAATAAGATCTTAGTAAGATAATTTTAAGAAATGTCTAAGATTTTTACTAGGGCTATATTCCACGCATAGAGAAATTTGTCCGTTGCTCTCGACACATAGATATAAATGAATATTATTCTTTTTTCTTTTTCTCGCTTAATTGACAGAACGAGAAAAACCTGATAAGTACAGAATGTAATAAAGTTTCGTTTTCTATTACCAATTGCACAATATAACTTATACAAAACTGGATCATACGTTTTCTTTAAAGAACCAAATAACAAATTTTATCTTTTAGTCTTAATGTTCATGTGCTCTGTCCAAGGAAAATATCACTCATTATGACTTTAATAGGAAATCCCTCAACTGAACGAGTTAAATAGAAATTAATTAGAGAGTATCCATTTCCCTAGCCGACCGATCTTACGGCAATTCTATAGAAATCTTATAATCAATCTCGTATAAGGCAGTCAATAGAAATGCGTTAGATATTGATAAGATTCTTATAAGAAGGAATATAAAAATCTTATAAGATTCTGATAAGAATTCGGTAAGATAGGTTACATAATTATTTTATAAGAATTCATAAGTTTCTGATAAGAATCTTATAGGAGGATATAGTACAATTTCATCACATTCTTTAGTGATCAGTAGTCTATATTCTACTGTTTCATACGTGAATAAAATAATTTTCTTTCCACTTATTAATTTTTCTATAATAAGACCTTAGTCCCACGCGAACAGTCTCATGACTTATCCGCACTGTCTACTGCTTGTAGACCGAATTTACTTCCACAAATCTATCATGACTATAGGAAGAAAATGAAGTTCGAAAAATCAAAATATGTAGGACGAGAATTGCAGCGCACGACATATTGCTCGTTTACATAAATCCCGCTTTTTCAAACTGATTTCTAGATTAATGTGCTACTTAAGATCCTTTTTTTTCTATAAAGATCAGACTCAATTCGGACTATTAATATGTATCATAACTCTATTCATATCTGTCTTAATAGAATACTAGAAGCAATTATAAAAGAACTTCATCTACTAAGTTAAGATTCTGATAAAAAAGCGGGATTTATACAAACGAGCAACATGTCGTGCGCTGCATTTTCATCTCACATACTTTGATTTTTCGAACTTCATTTTTCATCTATAATCATGATAGATTTGTGGAAGTAACTACAAGCTGTATTACTGCGTGTACCACTGTCTAAGGCAGTGCGGACAAGTCATGAGACTGTCCGCGTGGGACTAAGGTTTTATTACAGAAAAATTAATAAGCGGAAAGAAAATTATTTTATTCACGTATGAAACAGTAGAATATAGACTACTGATCACTAAAGAATGTGATGAAATTGTACTATATCCTTCTTATAAGATTCTTATCAATATCTTACGCATTTCTATCGACTGTCTTATTCATAAGATTCTTGCAGATATTCTATAAGACTCCTATAGGAATCTTATATAAGATTTGATCTCTAGGGTTCTAGGTTTTAACCCAACTGCAAGAAAAAATGTCGACGTCGTGCTGAGTTATTTTTAGTGCCATGTACTGGTTAAAAATTGAATCAAAACATAATTTATTCTACTACATTCGAAAGGGCCATTAAAATACTTTTGGTTTTTATACTTACATAATTTGAAACGTCGTTTCTATAGAAAAAAAGTAGATTTGATAAGGGGGATACGTTTGGAAGGGGTGAACATTGCAAGAGTTTTTTAGATTTTTTTTCTCACTCAAACTCAATCCTAAAAACTTTATTTTGGAATTTTTTTCATGTTGAGATTTTCCTCTTTCAACCAGAAAAATAATTAGCTTTCTACGATGTTTCTGGGCTGAGAACTATGGATGAAGGTTTCGGCAAATACTTTTGCATCACATATTATGTGAATGTCACATATATAGAGAACGAGAAACGAGTCTTCGAATCTTAATTCAATGTCTGAGATACATGAAAGAACCTAAGTGCAGTGTTTAGTGGTCAGCTTTTATTAATTATAATCATCAATTCCATTATAAATAAGTATTATTTTGATATGGACTTCATTTTTCTATCACTTGCAGTTTAAGCTCTAACCCCTGAAAAATAATAAATTTATTCATAAAAGTCGGTCAACGACACGCTTCATATTTTGTTACTGAGCTCTACAGAAAATTGTTGTTAAGAGTGAATCTTAACATAACCTAATTCAACACTTTGGCATTTCTTTGTTTAGCACTCGATCATATCCATTAATGTTAGAAGAATGTTCTATTCAGAATAGCTCAGTTTTGATTACATCATTAGAAGTTCCAACAAGAACATTTAACTATCTTCGAATTCTAAAGATTGAAATTGACTTTTATAGCCATTTATTAGCGTTATTCAACTATATTCCAAATATTGAGTTATTGAACGTTAAATGTAAATGGTTCGATTGCAGCAGCGAATATGTTGCCAATTTTAATTACAAAATGGTGTCAACTAAAATTCAACGTTTAAACAGTTTTCATTTGTCTATAAATCAAATTTTATCGATTAATGGTTATGACATGGTTGAGTTGTTAATTATAAATTTATTCAACGACAATGTGCATCAATCTCGACTAGGTATACACACGTCTTTTTTTATTTCTAGAAAATAATGCTTTTGAGTGGAGTTGTGTACGTAGATGAGTGTACAGCTCTTCTATTGATTGCATATTTACCACCGTAGTCATCAGTTCTATAAGAATCTTACCAGAAACGTCTAAGTCTCTTACTCGTATCTTACAAGATTCTTATTGAAATCTTATCAGTTTCTTGTATAAGATTGTTTAAGATTTTCCATCGGCAGGCGTAAGTGGCTTATAAGAATCTCATAAGATTTTCCATCGGCAGGCGTAAGTGGCTTATAAGAATCTCATAAGATTTTCATAACAGGTTAGTAAGAAATTCATAAGAAGTACCAAAAATTCTTATGAAGTTTTCCAGCCAATAGAAGCAACTTAATCATAACAGAAATCACCAAAACGAACTCATAAGCTGCCTTCTAGTAAATAAGAATAACATCAGAATTTTTGGTACTTCTTATGAATTTCTTACTAACCTGTTATGAAAATTTTTATGAGATTCTTATAAGACACTTACGGCTGTTGATAGAAAATCTTAAACAATCTTATATAAGAAACTGATAGGATTCCGATAAGAATTCTATCAATTTTATCAAAAACGTTTTCTCTAGGGCATTATATCTGATGTATCAAGTATATTCACTAGGGGATGCACCAAACCCGAAACTATATTTGTGTTTGTGTTGGATTTGTGTTTGGTGAAAGATTTGGGGTTCGTAAGCCCCAAACGGTTCGTCACCAAACTTAACGAAACATGATCTAATAATAAGTCTTTCGTTGCGTTTGGTGACAATCCGTTTGGAGTTTACGAATGCCAAATCTTTCACCAAACACAAATATAGTTTCGGGTTTGGTGCATCTCCTACTGAATGTACTTGATGCAAGTACTTATCCAAGTACTTGCCTAAGTAATGTCCATAGTACTTGCGACTTTTCTGCAGGTATCCAACTTACTTGGGTACTTGGCCTCAAGTACATTCACTAGGATCCTTACATACTACAGGGAGAAATATTCTTATGAAAATCACAATGCCGGAATTGCAGATCACTTCTGCGAGAAAACTGAGAATTTTACCCTCACATCCGTGCACTGTTATGCAGCAGCTTACTCTTATCTTTGCCTCTCCTTCGCTCCACATTGCGTTGCTTTTACTTTCCGTTGTTGTCAGAATTCGTTATTGAAGTGTAATCGTTCGTTTCATTGTTTTAGCGGATCTTGTTGTCGTGTATCTCATACTTTTCTATCTACAATAGCATCACTTAATTTGGAATTCCACTTGTCTCGTGGAAGTAATTTGTAATGCGGGAACTATGATTTCTATAAGAATATTTTCTCAATATTTTGTGTATCAGTTTATCAGCAAGAAGGAATTCTCTGAATTCAGGAATTGTTGTGTTTACGCGTTAACGTAGTTGAAGCGTTCTCTGGAATTCAGGAACTTTACACTGTTGTTTGAATTGGTTTTCTACTTAATAAGAAAACGACGCAAATGCATAGGTGCTAACGAAAATAAAGTAAAATTCTCTCTTGAATGTACATTCTACTAATTTTGACTCATGCGTCTTCATTTACTGTAAAATAGCACTCAATATCAATTACTTACCGGCATTAATCGATGGCTATCGTCTTCGTCAATTATTAACACATTCAAATTGTGATTTTTGTTTCTATTTTCGTTTTTCACGGGTAAACATAAAATCTATTTTAAACTCTCTAAGTCTATCGTTTAAAAACAAATATTGGCTCGATGAACGGCAACAAGAAATCATCTATCATAGCGATTATTATGGTCATGCCTTTTATCTCTATTCGTTACCAATGTTATTTTCTAACGTTGACTGTTTCTCTAATGGTATGACAGATTATCACTCAAATATGGATGAAAATTATTTCAATAAAAATTCATCATGTTGGAGAGGTATGATGAAATTTTAGATCGCAACTCTCGATTAACGATATTAATAGATGTTGTCATAGATTGTTTATTCTAGGTATACACAAACTGACAATGAATGCATTCAATTGCCATCGTGTATTACAACACGATACTTTAGAAATATTACATGAAAAACTTTCTAATGTGACATGTTTCAAATTTTATCTTAATTTTTGTTGCATAAAGGATGATCATAATTATCTGACGTTGCCTTCGCTTCAAT